ACACACACACACGCACACACACACACACACACACACACACGCATACACACACAGGCACACTCACATACGTTTGCACACGCTAGATACACACACAAATACACCCCACCCCACCTCCCCCTCTCTCTCTCTCTCTCTCTCTCTCTCACCCCTCACACATTTACACGCACTGCACACAAATTAATTAAATGTATCTCCCCTCTCTCTTTCTCTTCCTCCTCTCTGTCTCCAGGCCGCGAATCGGGCGATCGGTTTGTCGACCCCCCCAATGGGCACTGGATACAAAGGAAACTCTTTTTTTTTTCACCCTATCCGTACGTCGTGTTTTACTATCGTATCCATACAACTTGGGGAACTCTGTGCCACCACTTTCCAAAGAGGAAATTTACCCGTTAATGAGATCCGTACGCTTTGCATAGCAGTCTCAAAATGATTTTTTTGAGAAATACTGAAAGTTTCATAGACATCTTTGTACCAGAAGTATTCTAAATTATCAAGAATACAACCCGGGGGAGGGGGTGGGGGTACAAAATGACCCCAGGGCGTATGGATAGGGTTTAAAAGTGCGGTCAGAAATTCGTGGCGCAACTTATTATATAAAAAAAATCTCCTCAGCTATTTACTTAACATAGACTCTCCACCTCTAGCACAGTGACTTGTATCAATTTGTCTTAACAGATCAATATTTTTGTAAACACCTTTTAGTATTAGCTATATTCTATAAAATTCCTTATTAAATACTAATTACAGATCCCAGTGTTTGGTTTCCACAGATTTTAAAAGATTTACAGGTGGGACAATATCGCTTTAAAGCAAGTCCGTCATGTTTTTCTAATCACGACATTAGATCTATGCTTATTGAAAGCATGTTTTGAGAACTTTTAGTACAAAAAAGTGTTGACTATGAGTTTAATTTCTTGTAACTAAGTTTGCCACTAAAAAGTGTCATTGGTGAGCTGTGACGTAGGCCATAATAATAATATGCGTATGCAAAATGTGAGTGAGAAGCGGGAAGTGCTGTGAACAATTCCATTTTCCGCCTGAAGGAGATTTGAAATATTTTATATAAATTTATGAAGAAAATTTTTCTAATCTAACCTCCATTGTTGTCGAAAAATATGATTAAGTTAAGAAAAATTGATATAAACTGCTGTGTAAAGTATGTGTGACATTGATTCACCCGTTGAGAAGATATTTGAGGATAAGTAGCACCACGATTTTTGTACCACACTATATAGGTCTAATCAGTGGTGAAGACGCAGTGGCGGTGGGTTGAGAAGGGTTCACGAAAAGTTGACTCTTCTCGTTTGAATGGTTCTCAAAATGCCGTGGCTTGCCGTGAGTATAGAAAATTCAGTATTGTTTTATTCATATCGCTTGCTATTTGGTGGTAAAGAAGTGGAAGCCCCACCCAAATTTTGGTCCACCCATCGCACTGTGAAGACCAATAAGTCGTGAGCTGATAATGGTTGTCGTCCAGAACCCTGTACCAAAGATTCTCTACTACTAGAAGAGGATCTTTGCCTGTACTCTACACTTTGTTTGTTTGTTTGTTTGTTTGTTTGTTTGTTTGTTTGTTTGTTTGTTTGTTTGTTTGTTTGTTTGTTTGTTTGTTTGTTTTGTAAGTATTTTACGACGCTCGCAACTGCATAAGGTCATATGAGCACGCAGAAACACCAAACATTTTCATTTGGTAGGAAATTTTGAACTTTGCCCCGGTGGCAGCCGAAGCCTATTCTTATCGGTTTTGAACCCCCAGGGGATCTTTATCGAGCGCAACTTACACACAGGACCTCCGAGATTTGTTGCCCTTGCCGGAGAAGGCTAAATGTAGATCTTTCCTACCAGAAGATAACGGGTGTGGCTAAAAGACAGCAGTAAGAAGGAGCCAAGGAGTAGCAGTAGAGAAAGACTGCAGGAAGAGTCAGGAGCCCCGTGGAGGAGAAGAAAAGTTTTCCCGTCGCTACCCGGTTTCGAACCCGGGACCTTTGAATGAAAGGCGAACAGCTTAACCTCAACGCCACGAGAGCCCCCTGTATACGTTTTTATTATATAATGTACATGCCTCGACTAGGCTTTTAGAGAGCAACAACTGGTGTCATGTTGTTAGTGTTAGTACGCATGTACTGGAAAATCAACAAATAATGCACAAGACAAGTTGTAGTTGTATGGAAAATTTTATTGAGGACAAAGGTTTATTTTAACAGGTATAAATAAAATTTCTCATTTTTTAGAGAACTAATTTAGTGATAAATTGGGTTGAGGGGGGGGGGGGTTAGATAAGGCAGGATTCATCAGTGTACTTTGTTAATTACAATACATTTTATCATAAGTAAGCAGAGTTAACATTTTACACAGTGCAGTGTTCTTATTAATTCAAATAATATAGGATTATTACTGGGTTAATTTATCCCACTTTGTTTTGACTTCGCTCATTTATAATTTATTGAATACAATGCACACACACACACACACACACACACACACACACACACACACACACACACACACAAACACACACACACACACACATATATATATGTGTGTGTGTGTGTGTGTGTGTGTGTGTGTGTGTGTGTGTGTGTGTGTGTGTGTGTGTGTGTGTAACATGTACAATGCATGCAGTAGGTAGTTATGGTGTCTGCTTGCGAAAAAAAAAAATACACGCACATGTACGATATGTGTAGTTGGTCAATACAACAGTAGTGGATGAATCATTAACTTAACCGGAGAAAATTAAATAAGCTCTTTCAGTAAATGTTGGCATAGCAAAAGTCCATCTACTTAGCCGAAGAAAATTTAATAAACTCTTTCAGTAAATGTTGGCATGACACAAGTCCATTCCGTTCACAGCAACTGTGTATGACAATATGCATAATGTACACATAATAAATTAGCTGACGACAAGAGCAGCAGAGTACAGTTAAGTAGTTCTATTAAAGCATGAAAGACGAACCTTTCCTAAATGAATAAAAATATATTTCTAGTAGAGGAACGGTAAATTGCATACATATGTGGGTACTCCCACAAAAACCCCAAAACAGAATATAATGATTTGTTTAAAACGAAATTATTTTGTAAACGACGGAAAAGATAAGATGTAAAAAGTAAATTGACTTAAGATATATAATGTGCAGTACTTCTGTATGTAAAACAGATGTTTTACTATCTGTTTCCAGATTTTCAACAAGAGTTCTGTAATCATCAACAACAGCAACATCAGCCATTAAAATTAAAGATCATGAATCATATGTATTATTTATTTATTAACAAATGTGTTTGGGACTATCAAGTCGCCCGGGCTGTCAGTATAAAAGATATATTGACGAAGATCATACTGCACTAGAGGCTTCGGCTGCCACCCAGGCAAAACTCAAAATTTCCTACCAACTGAAAATCAAAATGTGTGGTGTGTCCCACGCGCTCAAATTATGACCTTATGCAGTTGCGAGCGTCGTAAAACACTCACCAGGAAAAAAACAACACATGTAGTGGGCTGGTGAGAAGCTATTGAGGGGAAGGAGAGGAGAGAATGGAGGATTTTCGTTCCAGCCGCTGGAGGCTAGAAATAGAAAATGCAAATGCTAATGTAATAAATATTTTATAATTCTTCACAACCCGAAATTCCAGATCTCACCCCTTGGTTACTTCTTCTCTTGCTTTGTTTTGTATGGTATTGTAGTACATGTACTAATTTCGATACGAAGAGTTTGGTACGGTACTGTTACAGTACTGCAGCTTAGTGCATGCACTTATTTCCGCGATACCGAGTAAAGTGAGCGTGCGGACAAGGCCTGTCTTCTCCTGTGTGTTCGCCATTTCCTTTGCGAAAAAGACTGCTTGATGTGGGGCGGAGTGTAGTGTAGCAATGGAGTGTTTGACAAGGAAGAAAAATAATATATGTAATAACTCTAGGCTTACACTACACGTGCAAACAATACAAGGAAAGCAAGAAAAAGGAAATGTAACATCATACGCATTATCAATATGAAAAGTTTATTTACAGTTCTGACCTGCAGTTACTTTTTTTTTTACTGGTTACATAGTATAATTATTACCCGTAAAATGAAGTTTAAGAACTAAAATGATGCAAAACCATATGAATGCATGTACATGTACTACTTTACACATAACCCCATAAATAATAGTTCCGAACACTACTTGAAATCGAGAATCGTGTATGATAACAATCTGTCAATCTTTCCTTCGCTCGCGATTTGACAGATTACTTTCATGGATTATAAATAATTATTAGTGCATGTACAGTATGAGCTCATTTAGGCCAAATCTGGTTGCGGCACTCTGGCTTATTTGTAATGTATGCGAGTAGTGAGGGGTATCGTAGTTTACTGGTATCATTTTTCTTTATTCCAGTTAATATCTTCCCGTGATACTTTTGATAAACATATAAGGAAGTAAAAAGTGTGCCCGTTAGCCTACTCATATAAGATGTAAATACATGTATTATATTCTATTTTATGAATAATGTTTATATATATCATATAGTGAAAGAGAGAGAGAGAGAGTGGGGGGGGGGAGAGAATGACAGACAGACAGAGAGAATGACAGACAGACAGAAAGACAGGAGGGGGAGAGAGAGAGAGAGAGAGAGAGAGAGAGAGAGAGAGAGAGAGAGAGAGAGAGGGAGAGAGAGAGAGAGAGAGAGAGAGAGAGAGAGAGAGAGAGAGAGAGACTTGGCCCCTGTGTACTGTTATCGTAAACTAAGCTTGCTCGTACATGATTCTGAAAGCAATCAATTATATTATGCAACTGCACATGTGTGCTTCATAAAGATGTTCCTGTAACAGAAAGTGCAGTAGAATCTATTCTATTCTATGTCAAGTGCATGTTCAATATTTTGAATTATACATGTGTATTATCTATACATTTATATAATAATAATTTAAACGCTACTAAAACTAATTGATTAGAAAATTTGAGCCACATTAGCAAGGACTAGGGGCAAAATTAACTAAAAGTAAGATGTACATTGACTAGAGAACGTTGTGTGTACATCATAATAATAATTGTAGAATTAGTATGATGAGATACACTTGCTTAACTACATGTACAGCGGTGTAAAAGAATAGTAGTAGATCTAGTGAGTAATAATAGAACTTTTGTCAAAAAATCAAACTATGTACATCATGTATTTTGTCAGGGCCTTCTCGGACCCTTCTGCTGACTGAAATAAAAGCTCACAGCTCACGTCTTTTCAGTTCGGAGATAAGCAAGATAGTCAGCTCTTTCCTTTCGTGGTGGACACACATATTATATACATGTAATAATAATAGTAATAGTAATAATAATAATAATAATAGTAATAATACATGTAATGATAATAATAATAATAATAATAATAATAATAATAATAATAATAATAATAATAATAATAATAATAATAATAATAATAATAATAATAATAATAATAGTAATAATACATGTAATAATAATAATAATAATAATAATAATAATAATAATAATAATAATAATAATAATAATAATAGTAATAATACATGTAATAATAAAAATAATAATAATAATAATAATAATAATAATAATAGTAATAATACATGTAATAATAATAATAATAATAATAATAATAATAATAATAATAATAATAATAATAATAATAATAATAATAGTAATACATGTAATAATAATAACAATAATTATAATAATAATAATAACAATAATTATAATAATAATAATAATAATAATAATAATAATAACAATAATAATAATAATAATAATAATAATAATAATAATAATAATAATAATAATAATAATAATAATAATAATAATAGTAATAATACATGTAATGATAATAATAATAATAATAATAATAATAATAATAATAATAATAATAATAATAATAATAATATGCCCTATCCGCAGCAAACCAAAGGCAATGTTGGGGCGCGTTTCGAAAATGACATACAAACCAGAAACACGAATTCGAGCATTTCGTAGTACCGTATCATTCATGTTATTGCATACCTTTCTAAAGTTTCAGATTTAAAAGAAAACAGAATTAAAACATTTGTATGAATTAGGAAGCTGTGCTTCTTTTAGTATATCTACTCAAAAGGTCGAATGACCAAAATGCGTGCCTTTAGTGAGTTAAACACACGCATAAAAATCATGTAATTCGAATGTCCCTGGAGCAAACTGATTTGTCCGGGTGAAGGCACGAGGCATTAACTGAAACGGATGGGAAGTGATGTCATCATTGACCTTCAAACTTCTAAGACATGTTCCTCGTAATCGTGAGATTGTGGGTTCGAGGGTTTCGAGCCTCAGCTCGGTCCGACGTTACTCCTGGTGAAAGGCACTTTACTACACACGAATTTCCCTTTTGGCTCGGTCCTTTCGGAGATGGACGTTAAACTCGGAGGCCCCGCCTCTCAAATAACCTAATAGTGTTGATAGGGGCGTTAAACCTATACCATTTCACCATTTTTTCACCAGTGTGCTACAACTACCAACAAATTTACTTGAGTTGTGTAGCTAGAGCGTTGAGGTGTGGAGCTTAAGTTAACTTAATATTCAAGTAAATTTCAGTACACGTATATATAAGCAAGCTCTTTCATGTACTGGAACGGGGGGGGGGGGGGGGAGGAGAAGGCATTCTTACTGAAATGCATTGTTGCATCTCAAACGATGCAAGTTACCAGACAGCCTTCCGGGTAGAGCCAGAGACTGGTTCACAAATTACATGTTAATGTATTATGACTGTGTGCGTGTAGTGTGTCGAGTTTACATACACCACATGTACCTGTGGTGACTTGACACAGCAGAATCAGGCGCTTGTTTACTTTGGGGCTTATGGAGTTATTCATATCATCTTGTTCATTTGTCTTGTTTTGACGACAATTATATCAATCTATCTTGAATTTATTGAGGTCGAGATTATAATTTGTGATTGAAGGAGGTGGGGGTCGCCTGGAGTTAGAAGTAAAATAAGTGGGAAAATGACCGCCGAATGACGTCTAAAGTTTGTGCGTCCTTTGAAACTGCAATTAATGCACATTTCTTTTGTGGGTTTGATCAATGTTTTTACTGCAAAATCCAGCGGGGAAAAAAATCGATACAAATTGACCAGAGGGCAGAAAATGTCGACTTGTTCGATTGCATTATTTTCACAAGCGCCAGATTTCACTACACACTGTGAGTTGTGAGTTGGCTACAGTAGACAGCTGATAGTGTGTGCTATCAACAAACAACACATCAATCTTTAATCTTTGCTTTAGATTTACGGCACAATTATTCTTCTTTTAGAATGGTAGGCTGCTGTCAGTAAAGTTGACTGGATAGAGCCAGGATTTTTGCAAGAGTGTATCCAGCCAGAGACGCAAACGTCAGTAAAAGTAGAGATAGAGCGGGCCTGTCTTGTGACGACGTTGCAGCCGTTGTTTGTGGTTGTGGAACTGGTAGTGTTGTATTACAATCCTGGAAGAGAAGAAAAACAAAGACAAAAATGGTTTAGAAAACTGCTTTAGGGTACCATCCGTACGTCGTGTTTTATTATCGTATCTATACGACGTGGGGAACTCTGTGCCACCACTTTCGAAAGAGGAAATTGACTCGTTAATCCGATCCATACGCTTTGTATTGCAGTCTGTCAAAATTATTTTTTGGAAATACTGAAAGTTTCAAAAAGTTCTTCACACTAGAAGTATTCTAAGATGTGAAGAATACAACTCCGGGGGTACAAAATGACCCCAGGGCGTACGGAGAGGGTTAAGAAATTCCTGAATCTCCCGCAACTCAGTGAGCAGCTTTCCTTCGCTTCTTCCTTAACTTTCATGCTGTCTTTGATGCGTTTACGTTTTCTTTACTGTTTTAACGCTTTCTTTGATCGCGTTTACCTCTTCTTTCAAAACGTTTATAACATTATTTATACATTTTCTGGATCGATTTTACATTTTCTTTAAAAACGTTTATGCATTTTGTTGATCGCTTTTATGTTTTCATCAATTTAAAAAAAAACATTTTGTTGATCGCTTTCACGTTCACATTAACGCTTTTTCGCTTTCTTCAACATTCATACATGCACATTCTGTCGATAGCTTTCATGCTCATATTTACGCTTTTACGTTTTCTTCAACATTTATTCATGTACATTCTGTTGATAGCTTTCACGTTCACAGGAACGCTTTTACGTTTTCTTCTACATTTATACCCTCTGTTGATAGTTTTCATGCTCATAATTTACGCTTTTACGTTTTCTTCAACTTACTTTCACAAAATTTGTGACGAAAAAAGTCCCGGCCATTGGGAGTGACCAACTCGTCCACGTCGTTGTAAAACAGGGCGTGCTTGGCTGAAGTGGCGAGGCTCGTGATGAAGTTTTTGTTTTTACTGTCACCCAGGCAAATCACGAACAGCTGTCAGGTTGGAAAAGAAAAGAGAATACGGTTTTAATTCAATGTGTTATATGAAATACAATGTAACATTAGTAACTATGTTGGGGGGG